GACTGCTCATTCCTTTGGTTTGGAGCTCTGTACCTTCCTGTATCCCAATGACTCTTAAGTTTGGTCTCTTAATGTTATCGCATATTTCTTGGATGTTCTGCTCATGGTTTCTTAAAAGTCTTGCTGAGCTGTCTATGTTCTTTTCCAGTTGAAATACTTTGTCTTCATTGTCTGATGTTCTATCTTCTAAGTGTTCTACTCTGCTGGTGGTATTCTCCATTGAGTTTTTAAGTTGGTTTATTGCTTCCTGCATTTCTAGGATTTCTGATTGTTTGTTTTTTATAACCTCTATCTCCCTGTATAGTTGATCCTTTGCTTCCTGGATTTGTTTGCGTAATTCGTTGTCGAAGTGATCTTTCATTGTCTGATTTTGCTGTTTAATGTCTTCCTTGATACTCCAGATCATCTGAAGCATGTATATCCTGAATTCTTTATCTGACATTCCATCTGCTGCAGCTGTTACCTCTTCTAAAGTTGCGTTGACCTGCATTGCTTGTGGTCCTTTCTTTCCTTGTCTTTTCATACTGCTTGCGTATCTTTCCTGCAGGTGCGGGCGGCGGCTCTGCTCTCTCCTTATTCCAATTGGGGTGTCGTGGCTACCACGCCGGCAGGTCACTGGGCCTGTTCTGGGAGCTGGCGGCCGCTCTGTTCTGCCCCTACTCCAATTGGGGTGACGAGTGTACCACGCTGGCAGGCCACCTGGCCTGATCCGCCGGTCGGTTGCAGGTTTGCCTACCCTGCAGGCGCGGGTGGCGGCTCTACTCTGCCCCTACTCCAAATGGGGTGACATGTCTGTCATACCGGCAGGCCACTGGGCCTGTCCCGCTGGTCGGTCGCAGATCTGCCCACCTTTCGGGCACGGGTGGAGGCTCTGCTCTGCCCCTACTCCAATTGGGGTGTCGTGACTACCCCGCCTGCAGTACGCTGGGCCTGTTCCTGGCACGGGCGGCGACTCTGCTCTGCCACTACTCCAATTAGGGTGGTGTTTGTACCACCCCGGCAGGCTCCTGGGCCTGATCCGCAGGTCTGTTGTAGGTCTGCCTACCTTGGAGGCGCGGGCGGCGGATCTGCCCTGCCCCTCCTACCACGCCTGCGGACCCCTGGGCCTGATCTGCAGGTTGATCACTGGTCTGCTCACCCTGCGGGCATGGGTGGCGGTTCCGCTCCGCCCCAACTCCAATTGGGGTCACGTGACCACCACACCGGCAGGGCCTGATCCAGGCGTGGGAGAAGGATCTGCTCTGGCCCTACTCCAGTTGGGGTGACGTGTGTACCACTCTGGCAGGCCACTGGGCCTGACCCGCCAGGCTGTCACAGGTCTGTTTACCTTGCAAGCGCGAACGGCGGCTCTGCCCTGCCCCTCCTACCACGCCCATGTACCACTGGGTCGCGGGTCTGCCCACCTTGCGGGTGCGGGTGGCGGCTCTGCTCCGCCCCCTCTCCAATTGGGGTCACGCGGTCACCACGCTGGCGAGCCACTGGGCCTGCTCCGGGCGCTGGCGGCGGCCCGGCTCCTCCCCTCTGGCTCGACGACAAATTGAGGAGACTCGGGTGACTGTGCCTAACCCCCCCTACCAGGAGACCAACTGCTTATGTCACCGCTGGTATTGATGAAGTTCTCTCCTCCGCCGCTTTCTGATGACATCAGATCTCTGCCATGTTGGTATCCTATGCGAATGGCAGCATTTCGTTCCCCTTGCCGGGCAACCAAAGCAACGGGTGAGTCCTGACCGGCCCTCAGCAGGACCCGGACCGAGAAGCAGTTTCCGCAGGCTCCTAGCCCCGGTCCAGGGAAGTTCCGGGAGCCGGAACTCGGCCGCTCCGTGCTCGGTGTAAGCTCCTATAAGTGTAAGCTCCAAGAAGCAGTCCCCGCGGGCTCAGTTCCGGGAGCCGGAATTCGGCTGCTTAGAGCTTAGTGTATGCTCTGATAGGTGCAGGGTCCAAGAAGCAGCCTCCGCAGGCTCCGCAGCCCTGGGCCAGGGCGGTTCCGGGATGGTTCCGGGAGCCGGAACTCGGCCGCCCCGCGCTCGGTGTTCGCTCCGATAAGATCAGGTTCTAAGAAGCACCCAGGCGCTGAACCCTAGCAATCTGTCTGCAAGCCGCAGGCGAATTGCAGCCTGAAATTACCTGTTCTATGGCTGAATGAGGTGCGGTCAGTCGAAAACAGGGAAGGTGACGTCAGTTTACCAACATGGTGGCTGCTGGCCTCCTCTGTGGTCTGACCGGTGTGGAGAACCGAGATGGACCGCTTCCTTCCCCTGTCTCAAACCCAGAATTCAGCCCTGAGTACGGTGCTTGCGCGGCTGGCAGAAACTGCAGCGCTGTAACCCTACGTCTCTATCCCAGCGCGCGCTGCAGACTCTAGCCGCGGGGCGATTTGCTGAATAAGCAGTGTTACCCTCCGTGCGACAAACCTCTCGCGTTTGAGTCCCCGTAGCAGATCCTCGTGCGATGGAAATCCTTCCTCCAGGTTCCGGCGCACCCCACTATTGCTGGAAATTCCTAACAAGATATCCTTTAGCCGTCCTGACTTGTCGTACTCCCACACAGTGAAGCAGCACACGGGGGCAATGCACTCCCCTCGCTGCCATCTTCCTTCAAAATTCCAAAGTTTTAGCCTTTCCTTTTTAACAAAGACAGACTGTATATATTTTAGGATATACAAATTTAAAGTCACCTTTGAATCTCTCTATCTAGGTTTCATACAAAATGTTGAATGGGTTAAACTATAGGAATGCTGTCTGACACAGACTGCTACCTATATGTTAGCTGCTGTCATTGTCATCATCATCAAAGTTTGTAGCCATCAATCATGTATATCAACCATTATTTAAAAATACACAGTGTGGGCTGGGATTGTGCCTAGTAAGAGTGAGGAACTGGGTTCAATTCTCAGTTCTGCATGTAAATAAAGTCCACTGACAACTAAAAAACATATTAAAAAAACACTGTGTTTAGGGAAACTCTGTACTATCATTTTGGAGATAGCATAGAAAAAAATGTCTAATGTTGCCCTTTGTTCCAATATTTCTCTTTTTCTTCCTCCTCTTTTTCTTTCTCTCTCTTTTTTTTTGCGGGGGGGGGGTTCCCCTTTGGCACTGGGGATTGAACCTAGGGTGCTAAACCACTGAGCCACATCTCCACCCTTTTTTAATTTTTACTTTGAGACAGGGTCTCACTAAATTGCTTAGGGCCTCACTAAGTTGCTGAGGCTGGCTTTGAACTTGTGATCCTTCTGCCTCTATCTCCTGAATTTCTGGGATTATAGGCCTGTGCCACTGTACCTGGCTGCTTCACCATTTTTTGACTATTTTTTTTAGTACAAATAACAGCTAACAATCATATTTCTTCAAATGTTTTATAAAAAATCAACTGGACTGGGAATGTAAATCAGTGGTAGAGCACTTGCCTAACATGTACAAGGACCTTTCTTCAATCCCCTGAATCGCAGGGAAAAAAAAATAAAGAAACTCAAATCAGTTTAAAAGTAAAATTTTAGAATTTTTCCTATTACATATCCTATTTTTATCTTACACATAAAAGTTGTAATTACCAGGAATGTTCATTGTTTAGCATACAAAATCCCGTTTTCATCTGCAAAAAATTTTTATGAAAGTATAACACTTTTTAAAAATTCATTTATTTTTACTTTTCCTTTTTTGAGGGGGCAGGTACTGAAAGTTGAAACCAGGGGTGCTTTATAACTGAGCTTCATCCTAGCCCTTTTTTATTTTATTTTTTTTATTTTGAGCCAGGATCTCATTAAGTTGCTTAGGGCTTTGCTAAATTGTTGAGACTGGCCTCAAACTCGTGAACTTCATGCTTCAGCATTCCAGATTGTTGGGATTACAGGCTTGTGCCACCACACCCAGCCAAAATATATTTATTTTCAGTTGACAAACATTATATTTATTTATTGTATACAAAGTGTAACAGTATTAATTTATTTTAAATTAATAGGAAATTTGGTAATATGTTTGACTCCAGAATAATAGAGTAATATACGTATTTAGTTGGTTATCATTCAGGTAATCATTTCATATTTAGATTTATTTATTATTCTTAAAGACATGGTAGAATCTTTAAAGCATGTACTTAGTATCATATTATATTACTTTATATGTTAAATATTTGATTTCTTGCTTTTAATTTATTAAAATAAAGGTTTTTGTCTTTTTAAAGATACCTTGAAATCAGTTGTATAGCAATCTTAAAATCAATTCTCTAGCACTGGTTCTTGGGGCAGAGGATGTAACTTAGTGGTAAAGTGCTGGCATAGCATACAGGAGTCCCTGGGTACTAGTCCCAGAACCTCAACAAAAAAAATCTAACACTGTTTTCTAATCTCCTTTGGGTCTTCTAAAAATCTGGTAAATCAGATGTGGTGGTACACACTTTATTCCCAGCATCGGAAGCTGAAACTGGAGAATGCCTGCGCAACATAGAAAGAGCCTATCTCCAACAAGCAATCGAAAAATAACCTGATAAGAATATAGAATTGGGGCTGGGGTTGTTGCTCAGCAGTAGAGCACTTGCCTGGCATGTGTGGGGCCCTGGGTTTGATCCTCAGCAACACATATAAATCAATAAAATAAAAGTATGTGTCCAACTACAACTGAAAACCAAATATTTTTAAAAAAGAAGAAGAATTGCTCTGGTGGGGGTGGCACATGCCTATGATCCTATTGACTCAGGAGGTGGAGGCAGGAGGATCATGAGTTTAAAGCTAGCCTCAGGAATTAAGGCATGCTGACCCTAAGGAATGTAGCGAGACCCTGTCTCAAAATTAATAAAAAAGCCTGGAAATTTGCCTCAGTGGTTTTATATATTATAAATTTCATTCCATAAAAGTTGACATAACAGACATACATTTTGCAGATAATTTTAGAGAGTTTGCAGACACATTGTAACTTACTCTTCTACCCTATGTTTAGAGTAACTATTGTGTGATAATACAGTTTATTATATTTATATTTACATATATTTATCTTTTCTGTTAGGCTTACCTCATTTTTCTTCTGGTCTTTTCCGCTGCTGGGGAAGGGATACTTTTATTGCTCTTAAAGGTTTACTGCTGGTTACTGGACGATATTTAGAAGCCAGGTAAGAGATCATCTAAAAAGTTGCAACGTAAGTTTATGTCTTAATGTTTTCTATATGTTCTTCAAACCTTTCTTCTGATCCATCTAATCTCAACATTTGAGAGGTATGTTTTCCATAAATTTTTCAATGGTATTTTTATAAATGTTCATTGAAAAATATAAGAAAAATTTAAAGGAGGGAAAACTCTTTGAATTTACCAAGTTCTACTCATCCATATTATAGGTTAGGTTATGTTCAGAATTTGTAAGATTATTTTTATAAGATAAAATTTTTGATCATTTTATGTCTTTTATAATGAAGTTACTGCTGGCTTGTTGAGTCTTACAGAAAAAAAAAAAGAGATAGCAGCTTTCCTTCTGTTTGTTGCAAGCTTGTGAGCTCCAGTTTCCAGATTCAAAATGATCTTTTTTTTTATGTCACACAATAATATAAATGAATTTATTGGAGGTTGAAAAGAAAGTTCTGCAGCAGTGTGATTCAGAATGTTCCACAAACCAGTACTAACACCATCATCTGATAACTTGTTAGAAATGCCTATTCTTTGTGCCTATGGCAGACCCCCTGAATCTTAACCTGGGGATGGAGAGGGCAAGGTTGGTAGGAGAAACTGTATTCACATCATCTAGGTAGCAATCACCAACTGGAAGTCTGGTTAGGAAATGCGAAATGGAACAACTATTTTGACTACCTATACCACAGGGGTGGTTTTCCTTCCTCCCTTTGTAGAGGTGTTCATGGATCAGAAATCTTTTTATTCAGTTTTCATGTATATGACATTTTTCTGGAGGGTCAAGATTGCTAGAACTCTCACCTTTTATTAATTGGGAATGTCATGTGCATACGGACCCTTTTGTATTTTAGAAAACAAAACTTTGCTATTGTACTATTACTGGATAAACATTAAACTGAAACATAGAATTAATAAAATTTCTGAATGTTTTAGTTAAAAAGCATTAAAGTCTAGATGTTTTTAAATGACTTTTTCCAAGATCATACAGGTTGGCAAAGCTAGGATTTAGACCTCAGCCATATTATTTCTTAATTTTATGATCTTTCCAGAACACAACTCCATCTTACAAATGAGATACACCAAATCTTACATCTCATTTGGTGTATGATAGTAGAATACTATTTTTAAATTTAAATACCAATTTTTAAAATTGAGTGGTTTTTTTTAAAGTCAGCTTCTGGCCATCGGTTTTCTTATATATTTGCTTTGCTTTTGGTATGTTATAAAATAAAAGTTTATGCCTAATAATTACTTGGATTTTGAAATACTATGGATTTCAAAAGTAGAATCTAGAGCTATAAGGAACTTTAAAATCACCCAGCCCAATCCCTGACTACACAGATGAAAAAACTGTTCCAAAGAGGGAAAGTCACAAATTGTTAGAGAAAAAGCCAGGGCTGCAACCAAAATCTCTTACTTTCAATTCATTGCTTGTTTATCATATTATGACCGCTTTCTAAAAATATATACAAAAAGAAATAAGGACAAGTGAGAAAATACTTCCATGACACAGTCACCAAAAGTGAACATGTTTGTCTTCAGTTTTTAATAGTATGTTTTCATTTCAAATGATCCCTTCAATTCTGTTGTTTAGGAATATTATTTTAGCGTTTGCTGGTACCCTGAGGCATGGTCTCATTCCTAATCTCCTCGGTGAAGGAACTTATGCCAGATACAATTGCCGGGATGCTGTGTGGTGGTGGCTCCAGTGTATTCAGGATTACTGTAAAATGGTTCCAAATGGTGTAGACATTCTCAAGTGCCCAGTTTCCAGAATGTATCCAACAGATGATTCTGCTCCTTTGCCTGCTGGCACACTGGTAAAGAGAATTTATTAAAACATTTTTCTTGAAATATGACTTATTTCCTAATATACAGTAAACATAAAACTGCTCCTTGCCTAAAGAGCTTGTAACATGGTAGAAGAGATGATGTGTCCACATAAACATGGTCATTGCAAAGATGGACAAGTAGTACTATGTAGTCTCATAAAAGGGAGAGAGGAGTAGTAGGTGGGACTCAGGGAAGAGGACTTATAAAGTAACTAAAATTTCACCTAAATGCACTCTGAAAATGTGAGTAGGATTTTAGGAGAGTTTGTGGGAGAGTATGGGAAGACTTGAAAGATGAAAGGAACAGTGAAGCATATTGAGTTGAAGCACAGTTTAGGACATACTGCTCTGCCTAGTTTCAATTTCTGTGTAAAACACCTGAGGGTAGTGAGAGAATATGGAAAGGGTGAATCAGGTGTAGAGGGCTTTGTCAACCAATCCAGGTAGTTCAGAGTCTATCTTATGAATGATGTTGAACTGATAAACATTTTTGAGTGTTTTTCCCCAATAGGGAATATACAATAATACTACGTTTTTTGTCACTTCTGATCTGCTTTTGTTATCATGTATTCAATATAAGACTTCAGGGGTGGTGAAAACTGCTTCAGGGCTAGCATGTTTGTGTCCCCATGATGTTTATATTTATCATGAAGTATTCAAAAGACATTTGTCAAAAAATAATTCTTTATCTCGTTCCATTGTCCTACATGGGTTAATGTTATCAAGTAGGTATTTATTTTAGATCTATTTATTTTCTCAAAATTTGGTAAAAGTTGCACAGTATTTTTATGTGCTTCATACATTTTATAACTATATCAAGAATTTTTATATGATAGATTCAGATTTATTTACAGGTTTTTTAAAAAATAAAGTATAAAATATAATCAAATATATGAGGACTCTAAATTTCATTTTTTGTTTATATGCTTCACCTTATTTTTAAAAAATACAATTATATATCTCTCTATATGTCATCCTAAGTATTACTTTATTATTAATATGGGCAAAGAAAATTATCTGTGGACTCTTTACATTCACTGGGATATTTTCTGAAGTCATCACAGATTCCCATGTTTGAGAGTACCACTTTTGCACATAATTTAATCACTATTACCTATATGTGCAGAGGAGTGAGAATATTTAGGTGCTAAATGACAAGCTAAACTCATTATTGTTTATTGTTCTGATAGAAACTATTCAAGCTCATCATTTCGCCTATCTGCAAAATTACAAATTATTTTGTCACAGGCCTGAATATTTAAAACTACTAATGTTAAATATTCATATGACAGATTGTATTATTTTGTGTAGTGGGAGCTGCTGCTTTTCCCTGGGCCTACTCCAATCCTTATTTCTCCCTCCAAAGAAAAGTATGTGTTTTCATATTACTTAAGTTGTGGGATTTAGGAGAAGATAAGTATGTAGTTTCTAATAGAGGACACATCCATTCTGTCTCAAACAGGATCAGCCATTGTTTGAAGTAATACAGGAAGCCATGCAAAGACACATGCAAGGCATACAGTTCCGAGAAAGGAATGCTGGACCACAGATAGATCGAAACATGAAGGACGAAGGTATGGAATTTTAACTCCATAGTGAATATTCACTGATGCAGAGAAATTAAACCTTGTAATCATCCTCTCACTTTGCAGTAATGTGTGAAAAACCTTAGGATGTAACAATGAGAAAGATAACACTGTTTTTGATCTCACTTAGTTTTTAGTTTCTAGAGGAAATATGAAATTTCATATCATTCGAGTCAGCCAATATTAACAGTAATATTGATGGTTACAATTTATAATGATAACATCAATATTTTTTTTTAAAGAGAGAGAGAATTTTTTAATATTTATTTTTTAGTTTTTGGTGGACATAACATCTTTATTTTTATTTTTATGTGGTGCTGAGGATCGAACCCAGCACCCCGTGCATGCCAGGTGAGCGCGCCTCCGCTTGAGCCACATCCTCAGCCCCAATAATATCAATATTAATTGCCATGAATTGAGTCATTATCTGGTAGGCATTGTGCTAACTACTTAACCTATGTTGTTCCAATTTAATACTCCCAAGAACATTTGGAACAAGTTATTTTGTTTTCATTTTTACTAAATGAGAAAACTGAAGAGTAGCCTGCTCAGAACCACAGAGCTAGTAAGTGGCAAACTACGATTTTTTCCCTGGTCTCTCTCTTTGGCTTAGGCTCCTATAAAACAGTTTTTACAAAAAGGATATATGTATATCAAGTTAAAATTGATAAACTTTTAACTTCTTCTTCCTTATTTTATGGTACACAATCATTACTAGCCAATGCAAGGCTGATTGTTTCATTTTTCCCCTATTTCTCTTAGAGAATCATTCTAATGCATTTATTGTGTATTTATTTTTATAAAACATGTATTATTTTATTTATATGTCATTTTAATATTTTGTTAGTGCATTATAGTTATATATAATTTTGGGTTCATTTTGAGATAGTCACATAACCATTTGTTCCACTTCAGTCCCTAATACTTCTTCTTTTCTTCCCCTATTCCCTCCACCCATGTTCACGCCGCCATATTCCCTTTCCTCTACTCTACTGGTTATTTATTTATTTATATAGTTTTAATTGGTGATTTATAGATGTACATAACGGTGAAAATCATAATTTGGTTAATTGCATTCTACTGTTCCTCTCCCATCCTGTCTCCCTCCCCCTCTGCTCCACTGATCTCCCTTCAATTTTCATGGGATCTGTACCCTTTTCTTTTTTCCTTGTTTCTGGCTTCTGCATATGAAAGAAAACAGTATACCCTTGACTTTCTGGATCTGTCTTATTTCACTTAGATGCTGTTCTCCAGTTTTATCCATCTAATAGCAAATGCCATGTGTATCAATTTTTTAACTTTATAGTTTAGAGAGAATTTGAGATTCATAAAAGTTTGCAAAAAAGTGATTCATGGATAACCATGAACCACTCTCCCAGTTTCCCTTAGCTTTTCCCAATGGGGATGCCTTATATAACTGAAGTATCTTTAGGAAATTGACATTAGTGTGATACTGTTAACTAGCCTATAACTGTTAACTAAACCTGATTTGGTTTCTTTTTTTTACATTTTCTCATCTGTGTGTCTGCGTGTTTGTGCATATATGCTCACACTTGCATATATGTGTGCATGTAGCTCTGTGAAATGTGACTCCATGTATAACTTCATGTAACCACTACCACAATCAAGAAATAGAACTAATCCATCACCACAAAGGTCTTTGTGTCTGTTTGCCTTTATAGTTAACACCTACCCACTCTACTGCCACACTTGAACTCTAACAACTGCTAATCAGTTCTCTCTATATATGATTTTATTATGTTGGGAATGTTATGTAAATTGAATCATACTGCATATAACCTTTTGAGTGGTTTTATTCATTAATCATAATGCCCCCGAGATCCATCCAAGCGGATGCATGCATTGTAGTTTATTCCTTTTTGTTGCTGAATAGTATTCCCTCTTAGGGATGTCAGAATTTATTTAACCATTCATCCACTGAAGGACATCTAGGTACTTCCATTTTTTTACTAATACAACTAATATGAATATTTCATATGTAGATTTTTACATGACACATATGTTTAATTTCTCAGGGAATGCCCAAGGATATGAATCAGTCATATAATGAGTGCCTGTTTTATTTTATAAGAAATTGCCAAACAATGTTCCAGAATGGTTGTACCATTCTGGTTGATTTTCATCTATACTGAATCACCGTTTGTTGTTATGGAGTTTTGTTTTGTTTTGTTTTGTTTTCAAAGAAGTGCTAATGGTTGTGTAGACTGCTATACAATATTTGCATTTCTCTAATGTTAAACATCTTTTCATGTACTTATTTGCCATTCATCTTCCCTAATTGTGTCTTTCGCTTATTTTCTAATTGGATTGCTGGTTTTTTGACTGTTAAGCATTTTAAAAATATTGTTTCAAAATTTTTATTATAAAATGTCCCAGTTTAGCCATTTGTAAGTGTGCAGTTCAGTGGCTTTAACTACATTCACATTGTTGTGTAGCCATCATTACTATCCATCTCCAGAACTTTTTTGTCATCCCAAACAGAAACTACCCAGTAAACAATAAGTACTCATTCCCCAGCTCCTAAAAATTGCTATTCTACTTTCTGTGTCTATGTATTTAACTATTTGAATGTATTTGTCCAGTTTCTGTTGCTATAACAAAATACCTGAGGCAGGCCACTTTATAAAGAAAAAGATTTGTTTAGCTCAAAGGTTTGGAGGCCGAAAGTATAAGCTGAAGCATCCCTGTTGAGTTTGGCGTCTGGTGAGGACCCTCTTGGTTATATCACATCATGACAGATAACCTCATAGTGGGAGAGATTATGTGTGGGGGAGATCTCATGACAAGAAAGAAAGGTAGAGATTTAGGGGTCACAATCATTCTTATTCTTTGGAACCTAACCCACTCTGAAAGGCCGTCATTGATCTTTTCCAATGGTAATATCTCCAGTGACTCAACCACCTTCATCAGGCCACACCTCTTAAAGCTTCCAGCACATCTAAATCATAGTCTGTGTACCTCATATAATTGAAATAATAATATATTTGCCCTTTGTTTCTGGCTTATTTCATTGAGCATAATTTTTTTACGGTTCAACCATGTTGTATGTGTATCAGAATTCCAAAATTTCTAAAATGAAATTTTCCATCTAACATTTTTCAAAACTAGAAATTACAACCAAAATAAGCTGGAAGAAAAAAAAAAAACCCTCTTAAAACTTACAGAGATTCTCTTCCAGACTGTTTCCATGATTTTCATTAGAGAATCTCAATGGGATAGAGGGTCTTTATATGCCAAACAGAAATAAAGGACTTACCCTGGCTGTTCCCCTTGTTGGTAAGTATTCTCTCCACATCCATGGCTTCTTAATGAAGCAGGCCTACATTCTCAAACCTGAAAGGATGCCAGTCGTTCTGTAGGCATCTGTCTTCTGGCACCACACCGCTACGTGCCAAGTCTACAGCTGAGTTCCAAGAAGGCCATACATTTTTGAATTGCAAATATGTGCTAAGTATATAAGACAATGACTGACAGGAAAAAAAATGTTTTTTAATTACAAACTCAATCCATGTGGTTTATTTATCAGTGGAAGAAGTTAGAAATTAATTCCCCTCTCCCCCCCCAAAAAAAACCCCAGCAAATAGCAAACAAATTTCCTTGGAAATCAGTCACATGTAGAGTGCACCCTAGAAAAGAGAAGGGGCAAAACAGTTGCCACCCACTTTCATGAGTTTCATCAAATACTGGATCTATTCAAAGGTGAAGAGAAAAGGCAACTTTCAAAAAGGCTGTGAGGGAAAATCTGTTCCAAGCCTCTCTCTTTATTTAGTATGGAATCTTCATGTTCACATGGCATTCTTCCTATAGTTCACATCATCTTCCCTTTGGGTGTATCTGTGCCCAAATTTCCTCTTATAAAAATACCAGTCAGATTGGATTAGGGTCCACCCTAATGACCATTGTAACTTGATTACCTTTGTGAAGTTCAGTTTCTAAATAAAGTCACATTCAGATACACTGGAGGCCAGGATTACAATTTTTAAATTTGTGGGGAGGGATCCATTCAAACAAAAACAAAAATGTTTAGTTTTGAGAAGTATTTATATACTACTGATGGCATTCCTTTTTTATTTTTTTTTATTTGTATGTGACAGTGGAATGCATTACAATTCTTATTAAACATATAGAGCACAATTTTTCATATCTCTGGTTGTATACTGAGTATATTCACACCAATTTGTGATGGCATTCCTTTTTTAAAATAATTTACAGTCAGGCATGGTGACACATACCTGTAATCCCATGGCTTGAGAGACTAAAGCAGGAGGATTGCCAGTTGAAAGCCAGCCTCAGCAAATTAGTAAGGCCCTAAGTAACTTAGTGAGACCCTTTCTCCAAAAAAAAAAGAAAGAAAATTTACAAATGTATTTATCGAGATATAAAATATTCCTCCCATGCTCCCACTCCCACTCTAGATAGGGCAGAGGGTTGGAAGGGAAAGGAGGGGACATAGGTTATTAATGATGGTGGAATGTGATGATCATTATTATACAAAGTACATGTATAAAGATATTAATTGGTGTGAATATACTGTGTATACAACCAGAGATATGAAAAATTGTGCTGTATATATGTAATAAGAATTGTAATGCATTCCGCTGTCATATATAAATAAAAGAGATATAAAATATTTATGTTTTTATTAATTTAATCTGCTCCTAGGTATCTAGCCTATGAAATAATTTAAAACACACAAAAAAGTCATATTATATGATGATATTGATCATACCATCATTTATAATTATGTAAAAGGAAGAAATAGCCTTTATAATTAACATAAAATATTTACAATGACCAGAATGAAAAAATTACAAAATTATACCTCTGACACACAAATGTGAAATCTAGTAAATAAAAAATATTTGGATATAAGCCATTTATAAAAATATTACTGTATAAAAATATTAGAAGGAAGTATATGTCTTTTGATTTTAAAATATGATTATGGTTTTATAATTTATGATTTTAAAATATAATATTACATTTAAAATATATTAATATGTTAATATTAATATAATGGCACCATTTTTAACATAATGTAATGAACCTTTGAGTTTCTAGGTAACTCACTAAACTCATTGGCAAATATTGTATGTTCAAAATTACATTTTATATATTAATTTAAAATCATTAATTTATTATTTCTAGCAGTAACATTCAAATACTAACCCTGCTAACCCAAGTTAGCTGCTAACAATCACTTATAGTTCTTTTATCCTTCAGTAAATCAATAGAAATAGATTTTATATTTAAAGAACATATTTTGTGATATCTTTGAATTAATTTCATTTTTTATTTCAACTTACAGATAGTGGTATAAATTTTACCTCAAACTTAGTACTCAAATTAAGCAGATATTAACATTTGGTTATATTTTCTTCAGATCTTTCTGTTTTTGTTTGAAAAGAAATAAACCATATCAGGTATATCCAAAGCTTCATTTCTCCTTTTCTTCCTTCCCTCTCTAGAATTAATGACTATCTTATAATCAGGGTTCACTATTTCCATGTATATTTTTAATGCTTTAGACTTTTGTGTATTCAAGTATATGCAAATTACATGTGATCTATGTTGTGTTGTATATATTCAGTGTACTATAACATATACACTGTATAAATATTAGATGTATTTTAAAATTATACACAAATATGTGTATAATTTCATGAGTTTCTTATAGACCAGATAGACATGAATAGTTGTATACATTAGTATTATCTGTTTTAAGCTTTTACAGAAAAAGTTTTTATTATACATCTCCTTTTATGACTTGTTTACCCAATCATTTTGTCTTGGGTATTTTTGTTCACATAAATCTACTTCTTTAATTTTATATGATAGAGAGTGTTTCTCCATATATAAACAGCATTTAATCATTCCTCTACTGAGTGGCTTATTTTTTTGCTGATAAAAGCAATGTAATGATGAATATTCTTATAAGCATCTCCATGTACACAGGAGTAAGGATTTCCCTAGAGTATATTTAGAAAGAAATGTAACTACTGTTCAATTTTACGTCTCTAATTTTTAAGATATTACCAAGTTGATCTTCAGAATAGTTGTCGTGGTTTATTATATTCCTATAAATTATATAAATATTTTAACTAAAACATTAATTTTCATTTGCTATATATAATATGTACCGGTTATAGAACATTTGTTTTATACATGTTTTGGGTTTTTTAGGTTTTAATATGACTGCAGGGGTTGATGACAAAACAGGATTTATTTATGGAGGAAATCGCTTAAATTGTGGCACATGGATGGATAAAATGGGAGAAAGTGACAGAGCTAGAAACCGAGGAATCCCAGCCACTCCAAGGTAGTGTTTATTTTAAAGTGCTTTTGTAATTATGCCCTTTTTTTAAAAAAAATATTTTTTAAATATATATATTTTAGTTGTAGGTGGATACAATACCTTTTTTTAAAATTTTTATGTCATGCAGAGGATCGAACCCAGTGCCTCAGGCATGCTAGGTGCGCGCTCTATCACTTGAGCTACAACCCCAGCCTCTAATTATGCCCTTTTAATTTACCATTTCAGTTTTTAAAAACACATACTTGTAGAATCTTTTACTCTATTAATGATGTATTCTTCATAGTAAATCAATAAAAATCTGCCTCTCTTCCTCTCTTCTATTTTCTGACTCATCCTTTCTTTCTCCTTGTCATGCAGATATGTTCCTTTTGATATATGTTGTATAACAAAGCTCTCTGTTCTTTTTTTTAGAAATTATCAAGGTTTTAGCCTCTGCAAGTACTTCAAAATCAAGTCTTATGATCTATTATCCCAATGGTTAATATTTCATTGTGCATATCTTTTGTAAATATGAGCAACCATCAGTTGTTCTGTCTTTTATAAAGTCTTTTCACTTCATCAAAAGGGAATCTTTTTTCTTCGTGATTTTTTAAACTTTTGTGCCAGAATTTGTCATTTTTCTTTTTTTATTTCAGAAGCTATCAACAAATAGCTTCTTGTACTATATTAAGCTGAGAAGCTCTTTTCTTCAAATTTTATCTTCAGTCAGAATTATCTAAAAAATAATTTTTAAATAGTTGCTACTGGACTGAGGGGTGTAGCTTCCTGGTAGAACACTTCTCTAATTTGGGTGAGGCCGGGTTTCAGTCCCCAGCAAAATTATATATTCCTTATAAAGTTAGGATTTCTTAGTAGACAGTTGCTTTTATAATGAAATGGTTATACTATTTATCAGAATTGTTTATCAAATTACTTCTTAAAATAGTGCCTAAACAAATCCTACTTAGAGAATAAAATTTATTTTTAATTTTAGAGATGGGTCTGCTGTGGAAATTGTGGGCTTGTGTAAATCTGCCGTTCGTTGGTTGCTGGAATTATCCAAAAAAAATATTTTTCCTTATCATGAAGTTAGAGTAAAAAGACATGGTAAGCTGTTCCTTTTATTTACAAAGAAACTTCTAATACTGTCTGTATTTTTAACTATGTACTCATCATTTGATGCAGTTAGCTAATATTAGAAAACCATAAATTTCAAGAAGAAAGAAAAATAATTAATCTACTCTATGGAAATTGTAGAAAATCTAGTTACTAACCATATTTTTGATAGCAGTTTAAACTGAGGTAAGAAAAACAACATAGTTACTGCCTTATTGTGCTTTTCTTTTATCTTAGTGTGACTGTGAACAGGTTCTATTTTCACGAACAATTTTGAAATCTTTACATCTTTTTTGAGAAAATTCTGTCCCATTGAAATATTATTTGAGCCAAATAAATAATTTAAAATTTTCTAATTCATTTGTTAAAAGTAAAAAGAAATGGATGAAATTAATTATGTTTCATTTAAGATAATGTGTGTGAAATATTATTCAGTATGTAGTCAATATAAAATTATTCCTGAGCTATTTTATATTTTGGGAAGTACTAAGTTTTTGAAATCCAGTAAATGTTTTATATCACATCTCAGTTTAGGCTAGCTACATTTTCAAAAAGTGGACAATTTATTTCTCCCTAGTAGATAAAAAGTAATAAGTGTACTAAATACGACTTTTTGGCTCTTATTAGAGGTTTGAATTGCTTTAAATGTCTGAAACTGCCATGTCTTTTCATCATTTTCCAGGGAAAGTTGTAACAGTCTCATATGAAGAATGGAACAGAAAAATACAAGACAACTTTGAAAAACTGTTTCATGTTTCAGAAGATCCTTCTGATTCTAATGAGAAGCATCCAAATCTAGTTCACAAACGTGGCATATACAAAGACAGTTATGGAGCTTCAAGTCCTTGGTGTGACTACCAGCTAAGGCCTAATTTTACCATAGCAATGGTCGTGGTAAGTGAAGTGTTTGTTACTGTCCAAATTGTAATAGAATTTACTTAATTTATTTTTTATTTTTTACTGTTTTCATTGAACTTCAGAAAAGAATATTGCTTACTAGTTTTATATAGTCTTTTATAATTAAAAAGGTCTGCTTATCACCTTTAACATTTACCAATCAGTATCAAAAAATAGAAAACAATGGAAGATGATCAATGAAGTGTTTTCTTGATGTATTTTTCACATCCTGAATACATTTAGAAAATGATATTTGTGCAAGACACTGTGCTTGGATTTTGCTGTTTATGCCAAATCCAGCTGCTTCAATGAGCCCCTGACCCACCCAGTTGTCCTGAAAGCTAAAGATGTCTGTATTTCCAGTCATCTGAGCCACAACCAGTGCCTCAGCATGCTAGATGGGAAGTTCTGGAGTAGTGAATTACCAGGAGTAGCTTAATTAATAAATTATGTATAGCCAAGGATTCTAGAGTCTCTCCTTTTTAAATTCTGCCTAAACTATGAGGGCAATAAAATAGTGGTTTGTGTTTGTCCATGCCTGCCTAGCTGTTTCCATTTTGTCAAAAACATAACTAAGCATGGTATTATAAATTACAGTAGAATGAAAAACACACAGGCACACAGGACAGCTTTGGTTCAATGTGCATTTGATTTTATTAATCATTAACATTAACTGTAGGTCAACCACCAAAATTAATGCAGATCCTCCTCTCCTTCTTCTCTGTATCACAAGTAACTTTACACTGTCTACATTTTATTATGATCCTAGAAGCAGAAAGTGGGTTCAGATATACCTTACAGGAAACTCTTGTAAATATTATAAAGAATCAATTACATGAGTTGAAGTGAGTTCTATATTCCTAATAACTATGGCAACTTCCTGTTGATCTAGTACATTTTTGAAGAATACCCACACATTTTCCTAACTTCTAAGGCCTAGAACAAGGCTTCCAAGTTAGCATGATGGAAATAAATCTGGTTAGGCATCTACTCTTAAATTCTGCCCACACTGTATTTTTAAATATATTCATTCTTTTTCAAGATGATGATTTGTATATGTAGGTGGAAAGTAATTCTTCTGTGATGTGAAAAAGTTGTATGTTTGTGTTTGGCATTCATTAGGCCCCTGAGCTATTTACTACAGAAAAAGCATGGAGAGCATTGGAGATCGCAGAAAGAAAATTACTTGGTCCCCTTGGCATGAAAACTTTAGATCCAGAGTAAGTTGGAATCTAATATTAAGAATGTTGTTAGTATTATATTTAATCCAAATATATTAACACCAGCTATTAATTTTTCTTATCGATAACATCTCCAAAATTTCATTCAGACTGAGTTTTTAAAAGCGTCATCTGTACTTTCATTAAGCATCAATACTCAGAATGCCTCTGTCTTATTCTGTATTCAATAATCAGTTAGAGTTTTAGTTTTTAAACTAATGCCATGAATATTGTCTGATGCACATTTTTCTTATCATAAAGGTGGTAAATGATTATTATAAACATTAGAAGTCACAGATATATAAAGAAAAACATGAAATTACTTTAAACCCCTTTATCTAGAAGTAAGCATCATTATCATCTGATCTATCTGTGCATTTTTGTACAATTTGGACCATATGGGCATATACCTAAGAGAATTTATGCAAAACATTACATGGGGTCAATCCCCAGCACCACAAAAAGAAAAAAAAATCATTCCCTTGCTTCCTTTCTTCACCTCAATTCTACTCCTGAAAGGTGGTCATTATTTTTTATATTGTTTCTACTAATAGCTATTTCTACATTTCTAAAAAAAAGTATATGCTGCTGTTTTATGATATTTTAAGTATTAGCTATTATTCACATATAGTGATGACAGGTGAGGATTTAATTCTGTTCTCAATATTAGTTATCTCCATCCTTTCTTTGTAATTATACTACTCTTTTTACTTATATCCATAAATGATTTCATTTTTATTTTACAGTTGTGGGTTTATGCCATCATGTATTTCTTGTCCTTTCCAACTTTTTTTTTCTTCAGTTTCTTATAACCCTTCTGTTTTTCCTTTATGATTTTTCTTTAAAACTTGATAGTTGTTATCAACTTGCTTTCTGTATGAATTGATGACAGAACCTCACCTTTGTAGAATTTTCCTACTTTACTATGTACTCATTTCCATCACGAGATGCAAAATTTTATGTTTTTTCTTAACTACATTCTGAGACTCTCATATTTTCAGAGTAGTTAAGAAGCACTGATCAAAACTAAAACACAAAGTTTATTTTTGTGGCCACATCTATCTTACTTTAAAAAAAACTTTGTATTTAAATTAAATCGAGTATACATAGCCCTTGTATTATCTGTTGCAATAATTTTGTTTGCTGCATAAATATGTTCTACATACTATCAGAATGTATGTTGAATTGCTATTTGTAGTCTGATGATATGCCAAATATGATTTTAAAATAACTTCATGGAGAAGTTTCAAAAACAACCTTTATAATCTATAACCAGTAAAACCTTATCTATAATACTTAGTAATTCAATTTATTATATGGCCATTTCAATTATTATTCATATATTAGAGACCTTTTGAAATACTTGACTTTAAACCAATGGTTAGTGTCAAGCTAACTCCTGGAAGGCAAGATACCTGAATATTTAATATTTTTTATATTAGTCGGTATTTGTTAATCATTTCTGAACACATCGCTAAAGTCCTCTGGACTCATTATATTCTTATTTAAGGTTAAATTATGTTTTAATGCTGAGCTTATTCTATGAATTGGAAGATAACATGATTATTTCTCTTAGCATTGCTATTGAAATGTTTTTAATGCTTTCTATGATATCTGAGCTTCTTTTATTTAACTTAAGTTCCAATCATTTTGCAGTGATATGGTTTACTGTGGAATATATGACAATGCCTTAGACAATGACAACTACAATGTTGCTAGAGGTTTCAATTATCACCAAGGACCTGTAAGAATTTATTTTTTCTCTGAGTTTTCAGTTATTTTTCAAATAGTTGTAGATATTCACAGTTCTTTTTCTTTCCTTTACTTTTAAATTATCTTTTTTCAGGAATGGCTATGGCCTGTTGGATATTTTCTTCGTGCAAAGTTATATTTTTCCAAATTGATGGGTCCGGAGTGTAGTGCAAAGACAATGTTTTTGGTTAAAAACGTTCTTTCTCGACATTATGTTCATCTTGAGAGGTAAGTTGTCATGGGCATGTAATGTCTATAACTGGTGTGTCCTCAGTTCATTAGATATTAGGTAAACTAGGTTTCCTTAGGATTCATTTCTCTGTGCTCTAGGTATCCCAATTAAGCTTGAAACCTTTCTTCTTTAACATGGCATCGTGGAAATTTTACCTTCCCTTCATTACTTTAGGTAGTAAGTTACTTAAAGCTAAGGATTTGATATTGTATGATTTGAACATATGGAATAGTCTTTGATTTTCAAAATTTAGCTCGTATTTTTAGAATGTGGTTAGCAAAGAATAAATACAAAAAACAAAAATATTTGAATCAGGCCTTTTGAACTAGTTCAGGTATATATATATAAATATATGTATATATAACAATTTTCAAAAATGTTCCAATTATAGTTAAAATATTGGAATTTGCCTTTTGACTGTTATTTCAGAAACAGTTTCTCACCTCCTCTGTCCTACTTATTAGCAGATTAACAGTGTCAGAGTTACATATTTTTCTAAAATGGTACAAATTTCATCAAGTCTATCTTAATTTCTCAAATTCTAGATTATGCCTTCATTTTATTGCTCAGACTAATTATGCATAATTGGCATAAATTGTATCACCTCTCTTTCAAGAACATAAGGGACTTCAAACTATCATGGCAAATATTGCATGAAAATTGGTTTTCATTAGCTTAAATATACTCACAGAAAGCCCAACTCTGTCATTGCCCTGTACTGTTTCTGGGGGTTTTGCATTTATTTTCTCTTTGTTCCCTTTTATCTGTTAAAAGTAAGACTATCTGGCATGCATGGGGTCATTCTACTTTTACCTGTCATCTCATCACTTCAGACCTGTTATGAGACCTTGTTCCAGTAATTAATTATCTTCTCTTGGTATTCCACTGTATCTTTCCTACTGAAGCTACAGAGATATCTGTCAGCCCATTCTAAAACAAAATCCCTTCATATAGTTATTAACTCAAACCTGGTCCTGTCTCTCTTACCAGCCCATGTCCCCTTCAGGAGTAACCTCTTTTTTCTTTCTCCATTTTGACCACCCACTTAGTCTATTACCACCTTCATCTGGCTTTCGCCCTCACCACTCTGGCAAAGCCACTCAACAAGATCTCTCCTAGTTTCCAGACCCCATGACTTCCCTTCAGTTCTCTACTTTGAGCTGGCTATTGCTTTCCTTTTTTCATGAAAAACCTTATGGTACTATTAGTATTAGGTTTCCCTTGTTAACATGGTAGAACTAATGGTAATAACAACAAATGATATTCATTGATCACTTAACCATGTTGTAGGCATTATTCTAAATGTATGTATGTAAAATGACTCATTTAATGCAAACAACTATGTAAAATTGCTACTGTTACCATCATCATCATCTCCACCACCACCACATATTACTGTTATCCACTTGTCCACTTACACACTGTGTGACCATGAAGAAGTTGTTTAACTTCTCTAAAGCTTGGTTTTCTCATCTGTATAGAGTGAGATGGGATCTTTGGAGGTTGGATTGTTTCAAGGACTGGTATATTAACATATGTTACATAGACAAGATAATAAGACAGATATGAGCTATCATTAATTATCTTCATTTTATAAGTTAAGAAGGTGAAGTAACTTGGACAAAGTCAAACAGCAAGTAATCTACTTTAGCTTTTACTAAAATCCAGGCAGTCAGGTCCTCCAGGCTGTGCTCTTAACTACACTATTAACTCTGTTTACTCTTTCTCTGGCTTTTATTTCCAGCACCTAAATATGCTCATTCTCTAAAAATCCAAGGGATTTTGTTTGTTTGCTTGCTTATTTCTTGTTAGTGTTTTTGCTTTGCAATACTGATTTCTGAACTCAGGGCCACACACATGTCTGGCAAGCACTCTACCTGTAAACTACATCCCCTGCCCAGGCAGGCTTTGAACTTGTGATTTTCCTACCATAGCATCCTAAGTAGCTTGGGATACAGATGTGTACCCTGGTTGCCTCTTGTCCTTTCTAATACAGGTGTTTAGTGATATACATTTCCCCTTAAGTATCAGTTTATCATATTCCACAAATTCTGATATGTTGTATACTTATTTTCATTTATTGAAGTACTTCCTTTTCTTAAATTTTTTTATTTGTTCTTTTTAGTTTTACTTAACAGTAGAATGTATTTTGACATATTATACATACATGGATTATAACTTCCCATTCTTGTAGTTGTGTATGATGTGGAGTTACACTGGTTGTGTATTCATATATGAACATAGAAAAGGAATGTCTTCTGTCTTTCCACCCTCCTTGCCTTGCCTTCATTCCCCTTTGTCTAATCCAATGACTTTCTATTCCCCCACCCCTTATTGTGTGTTAGCTTAACAGAGAGAACATTCGGCCTTTGATTTTTTGGGATTCATTTATTTCACTTAGCATGATAAGTCTCTAGCTCAATCCATTTAACAGACAAATGCCATAATTTCATTCTTCTTTATGGTGAGTAATATTCCATGTGTATATATACCTCATTTTCTTTATCTGTTCATCTGTTGAAGGGCACCTGGGTTAGTTCCATAGCTTCACTATTGTGAATTGAGCTGCTGTAAACATTGAGGTGGCTATATCACTGTAGTATGCTGTTTTTCAGATCCTTTGGGTATATACAGAGGAGTGGGATAACTGGGTCCAATCGTGGTTTTATTCTAAGTTTGGTTGAAGTACTTTCTGTTTTCTCCTTTGATTTCATCTTTCACTCATGGGTTATTTAGAAATTTATTATTTAGTTTTCAAATGTTTATGAATTTTCCAGAGCTATTTCTATTATTGTTTTTAAAATTGAGTCTATTGTAGTCAAGGAATATACTCTGTGTGACTCAAATCCTTATAAACTTATTAGTAGTTATGATTCAGAATTTTCTGTCTAGGTAATTCATCTGTTTTCAGTTGCAAAGAATATATATTCTGGGGTTGGGGATGTGGCTCAAGCGGTAGCACGCTCACCTGGCATGCGTGCGGCCCGGGTTCGATCCTCAGCACCACATACAAACAAAGATGTTGTGTCTGCTGAAAACTAAAAAATAAATATTAAAAAAAATTCTCTCTCTCTCTCTTGAAAAAAAAAAAAAAAGAATATATATTCTGCGATCCTTAGGTGGCGTGTTCTAGAAATGTCAGTTGGTTCAAGTTGGTTGATGTTCAAATTCCTTAAGGGGTTTTCATCTCCTTGTTCTATGAATTGCTGACAAAGGAATATTGCAATCTCCTGCTGTACTTGTTTCTGTGTGCTGTTGTATATGTTTTTGCTCCAGGTGTTTTGAAACACTATTATTAAGTATATAAACATTTATGAAATCACCTTCCTTATCACTGATACTTCTCTGCTCCAAGGTCTACTTTCTTTAATATTAATATAGCACTCCAGATTTCTTTTATTTGTTACCAACATATATTTTTCCATCCTTATATTTTCAAACTATCTGTGCCTTCTCTGGCTCTGACATCCCCTGAACAGATGTCCTGAGACATAAATGCCCTTCCCATATTGTCTTACACTCCACACTAGGCAACCTCTTCATGAAAGTGCCTTCCTTACATCACTTGAGTTCAGATTACTCTCAACCACCCCCACACCTGTTGTGACCTCCACCTTCTTCCTTATACCTCTTGAGCGCTGACATCTTGCTTTGAAGTACTTGTAATCTGTCTTAGTCAGCTTTCTCACTGCTGTGACCAAAAAGACCTGACAAGAACAGCAGAGAGGAGGAAAAGTTTATTTGCGGGCTCACTGTTTCAGAGGTCTTAGTCCACAGAGAGCTGGCTCTATTCCTTGGGGCTCAGCTCCATTCCTTAGGGCTTGAGGTGAGGCTGAATATCAGGGCAAAAGGGTGTGGTGGAGAAAAACAGTTCAAGACATCACAGCAGGAAGTAGAGAAAGAGCTCTACTCCTCAAGGACAAAAATATATATCCCAAAGTCACATTCCCAGTGACCAACCTCCTCCAGGTACACCCTTCCTGCCTACAGTTACCAGTTAGTCCCTGTCAGGAGATTAATTCACTGTTTGGGTTAAGGCTGTCATAACCCAACCATTTCACCTCTGAATCTTACATTTTCTCACATGAGCTTTTGGAGAACACCTAATCTAAACCATAACACTATCCTTTCCTTCTTTTCTCCTCCTCTCTCTTATTGTAGATACCCCCTTTGTTCTGCCTGCCTAATGAATTTAGGGATGATTTTTTCAGGAAAGGAGACTTCTTTATACTAGTGTGGGTATGTTCCATGTACTAGTGTCCACATTTAATTGTGAGCAGCATAGTTTTATAATCTTATAATTTTAGTAATTTTATAACCTTGTTTTGTTTCATAATATCAGTAGGACCTTGTTATGGCCACGGCTGCCATAACAAAGCGCCACAAACTGAGTGACTTCACAGAAGCTGTTAAACAACAAGATATTGTGTCAATTTCTGCAGCCAATAATCTGAAATCAAGGCATGGGCAGGGCCATTTTCTCTCTGAAGTCATTAGGTCTGTGACAGCAAACCTTCAGTCTTCACTGGACATTCCTTTTGTGTGCATGTTGGTGTCCAAATTTCTCCTGTATAAGGATGCCAGTCATATTGGATTAGGGCCCACCTTACCCCAGTATAACCTCATCTTAACTAATCATATCTGCTGAAAACTAATCATGAATGTGGGCGATATAGTTCAACCACTTACAGATTACACAACTATCCAACTTCAGAGATTTGGCATTTCGCTCTGAAGTAACTTTAATACTTGGAGACATTTAAATAATTTTTCTATATTTTACATTTCTATTTGATAGATTTTTTTAAGGAATATAATACCAGGCTAGGGTCGTAGCTCAGTGGTAGAGTGCTTTTCTAGCACATGTGAGGCACTGGGTTCATTCCTAAGCACTACAGAAAAATAAATAAAGGTATATGTTCATGTACATATACCTTTATTAAAAAATGAATATAATACCTAGCTTCTTTGATAATACCTATCAAAAATAACTCATATTCATCTTATGGAATATTTTCCTATTTAATTATGAAATATTTCCTATATACAGAAGAATATTTGTAACACAGCTGAGCTCCAATGAAAAATAAGGAAATTAATATATTCTCACAACCCCACTTAAGAAAGAAACATTATGGGCTGGGGTTGTGGATTAGCTGTAAAGTGCTGACTTAGCATGGCGAGGCCCTGGGTTCAAAGCACCACATAAAAAAACAAATAGATGTTGTCTATCTACAACTAAAAAAATATTAAAAAAAGAAATATTACAAATTTCTGTATTTTTACTTTTTTGAAATTTGCTTCATATTTAAGGATGTATTTTGAAACTAAGAATAAATTAGATACAATAATAGTTCTGTGTTCTAGAACACATTTTTAACCTTTATTAATGCCTCTTAATTCTGTATTAGTAAGGAGTAATTCTAGCTCGTGTATCGTAGGGTTACGGTGAGCATTAAATGAGGTAATGTATATAAATTACTAAAAATTATAACATAAGTGTATACTATATAAATTTGTTATTTAGTAAAATGAAAATGGTCAGTTTTTCTCAGTGACAATTCCTAGTGTTTATTACTTTATTTAGTTTTACAGTTATATCAAGATCACACATGGGGATGTACCTCAAAAGTAGAGTGCTTGCCTAGCATGTATGAGGCCATGGAGTCAATTCCCAGCACCACACACACAAAAATCACACATACTATCTACATAATTACAACTTGAGTCTTATAATTTATTCTACAATAATGAAATTAAGCCTCAAAGAATATTCCTATATTGCCTGGAATGGTGAGGGTTTACTATATTTCTAATAGATAAAAGGATCCTTTGTATTTGAAAGTTATAAATCCTAAGGATGGAATAGGAAAAAGGACATCTTTAGGATATTCTGGTTTATTTTGTTACAAGTGATTGTTTCTGTACTAAAAGGCAAAAAACATGAAGTGTTAACTATATTGTTAAAATGTGTTAGATTATGTCTCATAAAAAATCCTTTCTATTTTTCAGATCCCCTTGGAAAGGACTTCCAGAACTGACCAATGAGAATGGCCAGTATTGTCCTTTCAGCTGTGAGACACAAGCCTGGTCAATTGCTGTTATTCTTGAAACACTTTATGATTTATAGTTGGTTCAGATATATTTAATAAATATACAACTTCATTATGCAATGCAAGATCATAATGCAAATGCCTATGTATACAAATTCAAGTTTTTAAAAAAATCTTTCATATAATATTGATGCCCAATTGGGTAAGATTATAAAAGCATTGATTTATCTTTTTCTTTTTAATGTATGAAGATAGCTTTCAGTTTGAATAAGAGAAAAATATGATTACCAACAGAATTTTCTTTTGAGTTCATTAAGTATTCCTTGAAATCCAGCGTTAGGAAAAGAAAACCTATATAATCTTAATTTTCTACAAAAGTAAAAATGGAAAAGTATCTTTAAATTGTGGTATATATTCAGGAACAATACATACTGAACAGGCTGTGGATAATTAACATTCTCACCATGTACTATGACTTTTTTTTTTTTTTTTTTTTTGGTACAGGGGATTGAACTAAAGGGGCACTCAACGACTGAGCCAGCCCTATGTTTTGTATTTTATTTAGAGAAAGAGTTTCCTGGAGTTGCTTAGCACCTGTCTTTTGCTGAAGCTGGCTTTGAACTTGCAATCCTCCTGCCTCAGCATCCCGAGCTGCTGGGATTACAGGCATGCACAACTGCACCCGGCCTGTGACTGCCTTCTTAATACCTTATTCAATATATATTTCAGAAGTGCTTCATGAATGTAGAATTATCAACATTTCTACCATATATGTTCATAAATGAAGCACAGATGTTCAAACTGTGATATTATTTTTTCACTGATGTATCAATATGTTTTCAAATGTTATGAATGTCAATAGTTTATTAAAGACAACTGACTTGTGCTAATGATGCATAGACTGGGAAAAAAGCAGAACATTAAGAAATTGATTTCATTAAAAACAGTTTTGTAAAATTAGCCTCAAGTTCCAGTTTCCTGTTATATGAGATGACTTACATTTTCAAAATAGAAATTGTTGGACATATTTATGAGAACTTTCAAGAAGACAAGAATGTTATATTAATTTTTAAAACTTGATAGCTCTCTCTAGTTTCTGTGCAAAAGTCTATTGACAGAGCATAATAAATACTGGTTTCTGTTAATGAAAGCCTACATTGACAAGTTCAGTATTCAGAACAATCTATTTTTTTTTTTTTTTTTTTTGGTACTGGGGAATCAAACCCAGGACCTCATACATACTAGGCAAGCACTCTACCACTGAGCCACATTCCTAGGCTGACAACAATCTTAATATAATAAAAGTATAGATACAAATTCAGTAGTTATCTTGAATCCAATAAAATAATTTGAAACATATTTTGTTTTAAGATACCTTAAACTTGAAAATGACATAAAAGTGAAAAGGTTTTTAACATTTATAAGAATTTACATTTTTGAATAGCACTTATTTCCTAGATGGAATTTTTTTGTACTATTTTTTTCTCAAGAGTAAATTAATTATATCATTATACTTTTGTTTGGGAGAAAGTAGTTGTAAAAATCCTTTCATTACTATTTAATATTATTCAGGGATATGTATGTTTATATATAAAATAATGAACTTTTCTCAAGAGATGATATACCTAACAACCTAAGAAATGAAAATAAAGATAGGCATTCAAGGCACAACTTCTAGTACCAAAATCTATAAGTGCATCAAATGTCAAATGCCCATGTTGAAAGGCTCATGCAGTTTACTGCAGGATTACCTACCCACCCTTCTGCAAAGCTGACCCTGCTTTAGAAATAGTTTTCACTAGCTTAGTTTTCTGGTACCTAACCTAGAGCAGATTAAGTCCTACAAATTCAAGGAAGCTTGTGATAGTAATCTGACCACTATTTATAAACAAGAATTTCCAGATTTTCCTTTTTTCTTCATTCCCTCCCTTACTCAGTATATAACCTCCTCTAAACTTTGGAGGTAAATGGAATGACCTTAGCCAGGCCTAGAAACCCATACTGGTTATCCCAGCAACTCAGGAGTCTGAGGCAGGAGGATCACAAGTTCAAGTCCAGCCTAGACAACTTAGTGAGACCCTGTCTCAAAAAAATGAAAAGGACTAGAGATGTAGCTTAGTGACAGAGCACCACTGGGTTCAATCCCCAGTACTGGGGGTGGGGGAGAATGACTTTCCTTGAGGGAACTATTAGTTCATCCAAGGTTTATGTAGCTATGTGCTCTACCCTAACAATACAGGAAATAAGAAAGGTAACAGAAAACCTGCATATGTAACTAAAGCAAGAACTGACAGCTGGCAGTTAAATGTGACTAAATAAATAACAAGATGATGGTTTTTAAAAAATAGATATGCTAGTTTATCTACTGTAGGGGAAATACCCATCTTGGTAAATCTTTTGGATATTGCATTCTTAATTAGGAGTATTAATGAAAGAACATTGTCATATTATGCATGGTCTGCTTTATAGTTTAAAAAGGCATGTTGTGAGCTAGGGATGTAGCTCACTAGTAGAGTGCTTGCTTAGAATTTGCAAGGCCCCTTGGTTAGATCCCCCACATATCTCTCTCTCTCTCTCTCTCTCTCTCTCTCTCTCTCTCTCTCTCTCTCTCACACACACACACACACACACACACACACACACACACACACATTGGGGAAAAGACAAAGAAGAAGAAGGCATGTTCTGCATTATTCCATCCATGGTAGTTAAAGTAACACTTTTAGACTTTAGAAGGATAAATGCCATTTGACTGAAGAACATTTATGTAGAATGCTTCATTCCTGTGCAACACTGGATAAGCTGTTATTATATTACATTTTGACAATGGTCTGTGCCTTGGTTTTTCGTTAATCCAAATCAATCTGAACCCTTCAAAATGAGAATGAAACTTGCCACTTTTACCAGTGTGCTGTGATATTTTAGTAACTTTTCAAAGGTAATTAAGGAAACATGAAACTTATCATATGTATCAATATTGTAATATGAATTGTAATCCATTCTGATATCAGTCTTATGCTGCTGTATCTACTGGGCAAATGTCATTTATATCTCTGTGTGCCAAGAAAATAAAATGTTTTCTAAAGGACTGTGTTTTGATTTCCTTACATCATTTTCCAAATAACTTGACATTTATTAAGTACTTACTTATTTGGGTGCTTACCTTTTTGATAGGATGTGTGGGGACAGAGAAAGAAGAATTTTAAGACATTTGATAATTTAATTAGTCATGTCAAAATTTGGAGCTAATTAAACTCTTGATGTATAAATAGATCTATTAGCAACTATGCACTCCTCTTGTATGTCTTCAATACCATGAACTTTTTATTTTCCTTTCAACTTATTAAATGCAAATACTACATGCCAAGTAGACATACATACATAGTTTCTACTGAAGTAACCAATAAAGATTTTGTCACTTTTATATTATTTTACTGAATAATATATATGTGTGTATATGTATAACCTAAATTGATATTTTTAACTTTTGCCTTAAGTAGTATTGCTTCATTTTTCTAATGTAGATATATACCTTTATCTTCAGATAAAAGGTCTTAACCTAAAAATCTAAACCTGTAACTGTCAAATGGTTTAAGGTTAACTTATCAAACTTGCTAACTTTACTTATTTAAATCCTCAATGTGTTGATATAATGAACTCAAGGAATTTGCTTAGTGGTTTATTGTTTTTGTTTTTTCTATTTGTATGGGCCTTGAATTATAAAATTATAAAGCAGTATTGAAATCTTGTCATTTCGGCTGCAACTTTTTTTTTTTTTTTTTTTTTTAGAGAGAGAGAGAAAGGGAATTTCAGTATTTATTTTTTAGTTTTCGGCGGACACAACATCTTTGTTTGTATGTGGTGCTGAGGATCAAACTCAGGCCACAGGCATGCTAGGTGAGCGCACTACCGCTTAAGTCACATCCCCACCAGCCCCAACTTTTTTCCTAATATTTGTTTTCTTAATATATTTGGTTTTGTTATTTTGGCTAGGAGAATTTTTTGTTTAACTCACAAAGGCTTTTAAGTTTTCTTTAATCAAATCTTTAATTTTTACTTATCTCTTCTCTCCATTCAAATTTTAATCAGACACACACAATTTAAACATTCCTTCTATTTTCCTTTGGGCTTATGGGTTTTTAACAGTTATATCTGATAAACACTTAGGTAAAAATCACTTAGGTTTTTTAAAAATTGTTGCACTCTAAATTCAAGTTGAATATGTTTATGGTAATGCCTTTTTTCAGTCATTGAATTTTTTTTAATAGTAGGACCTACATTTAGGGATTATTGTTGAAGTTATCTGCCTACACATTCACTTAACTACTGTAGTTTTTGTTTTAATATTTATTAGTTTTTTTCTTATCACCTTACTTTCTAACCAATTCCCTACTCTTCATTTTTCAGAATTTTCTTATATATTCCCAACTTGGCATTCTTATGTATTTTTCAAATCCAAAAACTATTAGTCTTTTTCACTAAGTACATTTAATAAGAACTAACATAATTACAATATTTAATTTTATGTAAGAACATAGAATGTTTGGGATTTTTTTGTTTGGTCTAGTTTTTTGTTTGTTTGCTTTTGCTTGCTGCAATTCTTCCTAATATTTATGTTTTGGTTGTTCAAAGCTATTTTAGTTCAACTGATAGCCTATTAGTCAAAATAAGAAATTCAAATACAAGGCTGAAAAGGTACATGTGAAAGTATGTATGAGAATACGTGTATAGACACACACACATACACACACATATAAATACATATATGTGTGTGTGTGTGTGTGTGTGTGTATATATATATATATATATATATATATATATATGTTTTGAAGTAGGGAAAGTTTTAATGTGAGTCATATGAATACACTTATTAAATTTGGTGATGAATGTATATATAGGAATATATAATAATATATATGCAAATATACCATTGATAATTGTTATGACAAAATACACATAATATTTATAATATATGCTTTTATGTAAAATGAAGTTTAGGTTTAGGATAAATTGTATCTAGGAATATATAATGATGTATATACCTTTGGTATATACATTGGTAATTGAACATAGAATTCAAATATACTGAATATTCATATGAATATATATGCTGACGTGTATAATTAGGTTTAGGTATAGTGGTAAGATTTAGTACTAAAGTTTGGGTTGAGTTAAGGTAGAGGGTTGGGGAACGAATCTGTATATTGAGAAACATCAATATTCATAAGAATGTATGCTTGAAAATATGTATCAAATCTTATATAAACATGTTTTGAAATAGGAAATTGTTTTATGTGATGCTTATGAATACACTGCAAAAATCCACTGTATGGGAGTCTTCTCATACTCTCTGAGATGTTGTATTCCGTCTAGGTAAGACCTTGTGGAGAAACTGCCTCCATCTAGGTAAGACCTTATGGAGAAGCTGCCTGTCTGCTTTCTTGGTTTCATGCTACAGAGCAGCCAGAAACAGGACCACCTCTATTCTGCCATCTTGGATCTGCCCAAATAATTTTATTAGGGAGAACTGAGAAGACCCTTCTAAACAGATGGTGATAATAGAAGGATTATGCACCTGTTAAATCTCTAAGGACCTATACATTGAGAATGTGTAGCACATCTGACCCCTTTAGTTACAATAATAGATAGCCCCTTCCACCTTGCTTAGAAGAAGATAACACCCTCCAGATGTCAATAGAGTATATATGTAGGTATGGGTGCCCCATGGACAACAGGGAATTCACAGACTTTCAAAATCATGTAAAGTTCCCCTAACATAGAATGTGTTGTGCAGTTACTTAAGTCCCCATCTCATGGTATCCCCAAACCTGGAGGTTCTATTTATTGATCCCTGTGAATAGACACCAATAACTTTTTTGTTCTTTCCATGTCTGGAGCCTCTAGAGCATGTTATCTCTAGGGATGTCAACTACACTTAACAATATAGAGCTAATATTAATAGTTTGCCTCTTTGACGCCCCCCCAAACCCCTGTACTCAAGAGGATGGCTTCAGGAAACATTTTTGTCTCAGCACTTGCCATCTAAGCATCCTAGACATACACAGGAAAGTTGACATCTCCTTCAGATAGCTGATGTCTGTCTTTGTGCCTGGTCACTAGATGGTTTCACTGACAGGTGGGGATATCAAAATGGATGTTCTCAAAGTGCTTAGAAGAGGGAGAACTGGGATCAGTACTGGACTCTCTTTCTCTTTTAGTTCCCCACCCAGGAAGCCTGTCCCCATGGACTCTTGAATGGAGAGGTGAGCCCCAACATGCCAGAGGTGCAAGCCTCACATGCACACATGGAGTCAAGAGCCCAAAGGAAAATTTGTCTTGGAATGCAACTGGATCTACACTTTGATGGTGACAGCAAAGTCAGCCTGAGCCTTTCCTGCACCAACTAGAGCTTTATGATCAATACTTTCCCTTCTGCAAAATAATGGATGCTCTTCCAAGGTAGGGAAGGAAAGGGGAAGAGGAAGCCCGAATCCAAGTGTTGGTTGTCAGGGTGTTGAGGCCTCTCCATGTTCTCTTAGGGTCAGACTGAAATCTGAGATTCTCCAATATGATGAGGCGAGCAAGATTGGGATTAGTATCAGAACTGCCCTCAGGTCCTGGACTGTCCTTGGCCACGTGGATTTTGTAAGTATTTACATCTCAATTCCCTTATTTCAGAGACCTGATAAATAATATCTACATTTATACATGTGTGGTATCATTAATTAAATAATTTTCTTAGTGATAATTCAGTAAACAAATTGTCCAATTAAAGCATTCACTATATAATATCAAGTCGTTAGGTCTGACAATATAAAACAAAATGATGTCTAGGAATTTTTTTCATCTTATATAGAATATTTTTTCAGTAACAGTGTATAAATCCTAGGTCCACAACTCTGTGTCATGACATATCCAGCTCCTTTTTCTCCTTTCCTACTCTCTTTGAAATAAAGTACAACCTCAAAAAGAAAGTGCACAGATTGGTCTCCTTGATGATTCCACACTCAGTCCATCCTCTCCATCTGTCTCCATGGCCATGTCCTCAGTGTCCTTCTCAACCAAGGTCCACTTTGCTCAGGTGTGAAGACTGAGCTTTCAGCCCTGAAAGCCCACTTCATCTGGGTCAGGATCATCTTACTCTCTGGTGTTCACTTCAGGTGGCACCCTCATCTGAGATATGAGACCCTCAGTGCAGGAGGAGGCAAGGGTCATGCCACATAAGGAGCACCTGCCTTGCACAAGGATAGCTGTCTTGAAAGAGCTCAGTAAGCATCAGGGGTGCATTGTTCTTCACACACATATGATAACATATACTGGTGAACACCTTTTCTTCCCACTGGCCTTTTACTTCTCCATGGGTTCCCACAATCTGTCAAGACTCATCCCATGGCTCAGTTTTTGGTCCCCTGCACAACTCCCACAGATACCAGAGCATGAAACCAGCTCCAGTCAAGATTTTGTAAGGATAGTTTGAAACGTCTGTTTAGTCCCACATACCTTCACACTAATTTCTTGTTGTTATCTAATAGGGCATCTGCTTTTCATGACATCTCTCTCTCATTCTTCTCATATTTCTAAAGATTTTCTATTTTCACATGACTGTAATAATAATTATATATCATCTCTCCTGTATTCCTATATAACATCTTTGTTCAGACAAATATCAATACCTACATGATACCTATATGAGGGTTATTATATATATGGGTATGTATGAAGCATATCATTCTTATGCAAGTTTTGTGAAATTCATAGGATTTCTTTTCTTTTCATTAATAGTGGTCTCCTCCTACTTTGATTTTGCTTGATTATTTATTTTCTCCTTCCTGCCCGTAGTGCAAACTATACCAAGTATGATTTCCTTGTCTTTGCCTTATAAACCTGGGAGATATTGGTTTTTAACAATCCTATTTTACTTGAATATTTTTTTATAAAATGGGAGAAACTTTACCTCCCAGAAAGCTTATCATCACCAGATATGTCACTTAACCCACAAATATTTTAGGATCCACTTAAACAAGACATTGGATGGTGAATCTTACACTAGAAACTTAAAACTCCGTATTTACCAGAAACTGTACAAGA